TTTCAATTTTTTTAATAAAGATGTCTTCAAGAATTTGTAGTTTCCGCTTATTACGTTCTTGGTGACATATTGTCTACTAATATTCTTCGAAAGTTTCATTGCGGACATGTTTTTTGCCGATTTGTGCAATGGACATAAATCATTCATGTGCAAAATTATATATATATATATATATATATATATATATGAATGAAGAAATATAGTCTTAAGATGTGCTATATTTATGGGATAAAGTCCTCAGTATCAAAAATAGAGCGTGTGTAAATATAAAAGTGAACATAGAAGTCAACACTTAGAGACTAGATGCAATCGTCAAGCCTGTTTCATGCTAGATGCAATCGTCAGGCTTGACGATTGCATCTAGCCTGGCATATTGACGTCTATGTTCACATATATATATATATATATATATATATATATATATATATATATATGCATGTTTCATTGAATATAACAGACAAGGGGGTTTGATTTAGTTTTTATGCAATTCCTCATGTGATCTTATAATTCTTTTCTTTTCAGATGATAAATTATATAATATCTGTCGGAATTTTCTCTTTATCCAAGCGCTTTCGGCTATTCATTTAGCCATTTTCAAGGTTGAAATATATTAACTGTTAGCAAGAAATAGTTTGTTGCATGTATGTATTTATATAATGTTTCCATTTTCAAAACACGGTCACGAAGCGGTACAAGCTTCCTAACACTTACCCACTCACGAAGTGCTCCGAAGATTAATTTATCTATTATATATTTTAAATAATAGAAGGTTATGAATTTAGACATTTATTCGATGTTTTTAACATTTTTATAGCCATTTCTGTTGGCTTGGGAAAACTAAAATTATATAAATATTAATTATAAATTCTAAAATTATATCAATATTAGGTTGGCCAGTAAATTCTATCTCCTTTTGGAAGCGGAATGAAAACAACAAATCTTGATCTCTGTCTGGTGGAATTTCCAAGGAGTAGTGTATTCCGAGTTTATTTCACACGGCCTCGCCATCAACATTAAGCTGGGAGCCAGACCGCATGTACAACAAACTAAAGGAGGAGCAGCCTGCTTTGGTCAATCGTTTGGTCAATGCGTACCTACACACAGCCAGGTTGACTAAGGAGAAGTTCAAACAGATGGACGATGGTGAGACTCTTCCACATCCACCATTCAGTCCCGATGCTACTCCGAGTGACTATGACCTATTCCGCTCAATGGCACACTTTCTCAATAACTAGAGATTCAACAATTTTGTTAAAGTGAAGGAAGCTTGTTTACAGATTTTTTTAATTCAAAGCCAGTGGACTGGGATAAATTCGGATGTTGGCTCATCACAAAATTATATGTATATTGTTACAATTTTTGGATACATTATGTAACTAGTGAGCTAGCCCAAATGACTTCACTCACTTTATAGCCCACCAATAGAAGGTTAACCAATCAGAAGACGTAGAATATTCAATCCGTCGTGTATAAAGGCGGCTATTTTGTTTACTCTATCCGAATGTCCAGTGCTAGCTTGTCAGGCGAAGAGAAACAGAGGGACGAACTATGCTCTGCTACTTTTATCGAAATATTCACTGCTAACCTGAACAACGCTTCCCTACTGTCTTCGAAATATTCACTGCTAACCTCTGGATTCTATACTCAAAGACGACCGTCATCATGAACAACATATATTAATTACATTGTTAAAAAAAAACTCACTTTTGTTTAATAGACATTAAATTACATCACTTAGTATCCTCCATAGTTCATCTAGACTTTTCAGTCAACCTGACGAATATTCTTAAATTTTTACTTTTGTTTATAAATACATGTTGTAAAATAAAATCCTTACATTTGTCTTGATGAAGTCCATCAGAGAACAAAACGTGTCAGCTAAGATAAGTTTTCTTTTTGTCTTTATTCATATTGTCCATTTACAGATATATATATATATATATATATATATATATATATATATATATATATATATATATATAAGTTATATCTGAAATTTTACGCACACACAATCACACATATTTATTTGTATATAATTGTGTATTTGGACAGCAATCCCTCTTTTATACAAATTTCATTGAAGTCGACTGACAAAGCACCGTGATTAAGTTTTTTATTCAATTTTCTTGCATTTCTGCAAGTATTTTCTTTCCTGGAAAGAGAGATTGTAAAAAGTTTTCTGCACAGAGTATTTGTAAAAACTTTTCTGGACAGGGAGTTTGGAAAAAAGATTTCTGGACAGACTTGTAAAAGTTTTCTGGACAGATAGTTTCGAAAAAGTTTTTTGGACAGATAGTTTCGAAAAAGTTTTCTGAACCGGGAGTTTGAAAAAAATTTCGAGACAGAGTGTTTGGAAAACATTTTCTAGACAGAGTGTTTGGAAAAAGTTTTCTGGACAGAATGTTTGGAAAAAGTTTTCTGAACAGAGAGTTTGTAAAAACTTTTCTAGACAGAGTGTTTGAAAAACTTTTCTAGACAGAGTGTTTGGAAAAAGTTTTCT